GGGTAGATAATGGAGGTCTCTGCCTACTATGAAGTTAGATGGGAGCAAAGTGTTGGGTGAAGAAGAGAAATGGTCGTAGAGGCGGGGGGGCTGTTATGCTTGTGAACCCTTTACCTTTAGGCTCAATGCCTGGCAGCTGCTGCCTTTTCCGTGAAGCTAACTCTATCCTCTACAAGGACCTACCCTCTTCATCTTTTTTACTTACCATATATAATTGATTTTATATTATTATTATTATATGTTTGAATTTTTCCTGTCAAAGCTGGCCATCTTACTCTTCCATAAATCTATTTATTTTTAACATAATATCAACTATGACGTGGATATAGGAACGAATCCATGATCTTTTATTAAGAAGTATCAAGGAAAAGGTGAATTTATAAATTTTAAGAGGTGAAAATAAATTATTAATTGAAAATAAAAAAAATTAAAATATATATTATTATAAAAAATTTAAAAAAACTATTGCGCCAACTCATCTCCTATTTAATCTATCTCTGCATGAACATATATTTGTAATGAAAATGAAAATAATATAAATATATAATATAATACCCCAACACAGTACAACATATTTAAACACATTATCCATTTTTTTAATCCGTAAAAATCTCATCAATTTTTACTTTTAATACTTATTTACATTCATCAAATGTTTTAAATTAATATTTAATTAAAATTAAATAATTTTACATAATATAATTAGATCCTTTGCAATATATATATGGATTAAGATCCGTTTACACTTAGTATAAAATTTTTAGTTTTACATTCTTTTAAGATCGTTGAATGAGAAAAAAATCAAAAACTGAAATCAACAGTAAGAAATAAGAAGATATTCGATGAAAAAAATATAAGAATTTTAGTATTTGATTTCCCCTTAGCCAACGATCTTAACTCTTCTCTCTATCGATATATATATATATGGAAAAATAGAGGAAAAATCATATTCCAGCTTGAAGAGAGAGTCATTTGATTTACTTGAACAAAGATTCATAACAATAATATGGAATGAAAGGAAAAACAAGCCTCTGAAGAATCTCCCTTCCTCTAGCTGAAAAAGATAATTTCGTTATTAATCTTACAGTTGACAAAAGAATCATTAATCTCCCCCACCCACTGAATTAGGCTACAGTTTTATTTTTTAAAATAGTTTGTATGCCACATTGAGCGTTTCTGTTATACAGGTTTCTAAAAGGTATACAGCGCTCTTATCCACTTTTTTTTTTCTTTTCCTATGAAAGCTACTGACTGAGGGGTTTATGCTCAACAACACTGCCGTGCTGCTGCATCGCCACGACGGGCTCGCAGCATCTGGAATACCAGAATGAGGGAAACGCGGCACATCGTGTTCTAAGGCAGTAGTAGCAATACCTGTGAATATCAAACTGCATCCAATTATAAGCAAGCGATATAAGAAAATTGTTCTTAAAACACCGGAGCTGATCAAAATTCAAATGCATTTCATGGAAACTGCTGTCAAGAGTAGTATTCAAATGATGTACCAAGATTCACAGTGGCAACATGAACATGTCAGTGTTTGAAGCTCCGAATCATAAAGCGCATTTAAAGCCAATTTGTTCATAACTTCCTACAATACGGGGCCTCATTTCTTTTCAAAATTAGGTCCCATAAAGTGGCAGGCTATGAAAAATCGACACAAAGTTCAAATGTTCATGGCATCACCGTGATATAGCAGACGAAAAACTAGAAGGTTATGAGAGGGGTAGGAGGGAATTTATTTCACCTACCGATGCTGGCATGGGAGAGCGAGATAAGGGAGTGTTGGACTTGCCCGACAAATGGGACAAATAGAGTCATCCTCTTTAGAGCTTGAAGATTTGTCCTTTGAGAAAGGGTGAAGAAAACTTTTAACAGTTGATGTGTTAAGAAAAGGGAGAAGCAGCAACAGCATCTCCTGCATAATAGCCATGTAAATATAAGTACTAAAGTACATTCACTACAGAAGAAAATAAAAGTCACTTGGTAATCCATGTCAATCCAACCAGTCACAAATAGATGGTAAAAGCTCGATCTTAGCCAAAATGCTGGGAAGGTACAACATGTTAAAAAAAAAAAACTTCTATGCTAATTAGCAACATTGACATGGAAAGGGCAAAAGAAGGATCGCATCACGTGCCATTGCTGAGGTAGTCCCAAAATAGTAAACAATTGGGTTACTCTCCCGTTTTTTCTTTTTACACAGGCTATTATCCTATAAGATAAAGGCATTGAAGTTTAAAAGCTTCATGAGAAAATTACATGCTTTCGGCATCTCCCTAACCAAATTTGCTAAGTTAATAATAAAAGGTTGACTTTATTATTCTAAGTTAAATGGAGACATGCTAGACACATTAGCATACTTGTGAAGTTTTTAAACCCGGCTGTCGGGACAAAGGTTTCAGTCTAAAAAGATATTTTCCGGTTTTCCTTATTAGAACTCTGTAGATATTCATTTACTTGGAATAGTATCTCCCATCTCTTCCTAGTAATTTTTGTCAATTTCTCCACAATATGCACCTCACTTGATATCTTTTACTGCCTACAGACAAATATTAATGTCCATCTTAAAGTTTATGTACAAATCTACAAATTGAGCATTTGAATATACAAGGATTGAGATGCAGGCTTTAACAAGGAAAGATTACCGAGAATTCATTCCAAACTAACTGGCGATTCATGTACTCAAAACTAACAGCTCGATTCATAACAGGGATTACATAGACAAGCCTCACTCTTAATGCACTTTCAATAAGGTTTCTATACCTTCATTAAAACAAGAGGTGGAAATGGAATTAGATCAACCCTGCCAAAAGGCAATCAGAGAAGACCAAGGTTTACGAACCAGCTGAAAGTTCCCTAACCGTCAAGCTTTCATGCATAACTGAATAAGGTAATATATATCAAAACAAAAAACGGATGAAAAGATCAGTTTCACACAGTGAAGATGACAAACGGAAAACTTGGGAATAGCAAATTAAATTACTGTGCTTGCTAAAAGTGCTTCAACTCTCTGATGAGTTTATTTTCCTACACTATTAATGTGATTCAAATAATATGAGCTTCAACATCTATAAGGCTACCTCTTACGAGAAACAACCCTTCAAGGCCTACCTTCCAGTGAAAAGAAACACGAGTAGGTTCCCAAATGATGCAGCCTTGTAAAGCCCTTCTATGCGTTGCATCAAACCCCAAACTCGCTGTGCTAATGGCCTCTGAAGAAAAGAAAATTCAGTGTTGACTCTAAACAGAGTCCAAATTCTTCCTAGAGGAAGAACACAAAGAAAAAATGACACTTAAATCAGCAACTGCTCAGAATCACCCCATCTGCGGAAAGCAGAGAATGACTGTTACGTTCCCAAATGTACTGACCACCCACTGCAGCAATGAAATACAACATCTTCTGAGCAGCAATTAACCCAGCCCTTCCAGACCTGTTCTTACTGCAGAAGGACAACTCGGTTATCAATCCATACGATTTATACGTAGACAAAGTGGGTTACTAACAATGCTTATACAAGAGCAAGACTCTGCTAGCTCAAAAAACATAACATAAAAATTTTCAAAGATCTATGTATTTCATCTACATGATAACAAGTAAAAAATAACAAAGAATTGAAAGCCAACTCTTATCTTATGTAGTAGAATACAAAAGAGAAGTCCAGACCTTCTTACCATTTCGTCGTAATGCCACAGCACGTTCATCTCTATACCTCAGATTCATAAGTGCAATTCCTGGAGTTGGCTTATCTACCCAAATTGAAAACCTCCAAATGAGGAACTCAAGGAAAGCATCGAGTTCTGGTTCATACTGAAATAACATTCCTAACTAACCCTCAACAAAAAAGAGAAACAAGATCAGACAACTGCAAAGTGCAATTTCATTCTCTATACACCATGAAATATGAATGCATTCAATAGCCAAAAAACCTTCACCAAGGAAAACTTAACCAGCTGTTCTTTCAACATGGCTGACATCTCAATATCCAATCTAGCAGCATCAAATTGATTAACTCTAGATATTGATATCGGTAAAGCGGGATGCTGCAGTAATTTACCAAAAGATGTTAATAAGATAACTAACAAAAGCTCAAATAACAGCAAAATGGAGCAACCATGAAAAATTCCCAGCTTGCAATTGGATATTGATCTTAGTCTATACGCCAATGAACATAAAGACTAAAAATTTACCATTAAAGCCTTCCATATATATAACTAGAGAACTAAAAGTTCATATTCTTTTCATCATGATAATGCAATTCCATTCAGCTTTAGAAATTTTGTTTCTTGATACCCAAAAACCATTCCCCTTACCTAAAAGGAAAATAAAAAGTTACCCAGAAATTTTCCAGATACCATTTCAGTAAAAACAAGTTCCCCGTGGATTTTAAAGGGAAATTAGGGTGCCCTAAACATAATATTTGCAGAATGGTTTTAGGAAATCATCATTTAATCAAACAGATGAAAGCAGAATAAGAAAAGGGGAATATCTTCTTTTGTTGAACTTTCAACTAAATTAACAAAAAAAAATTACCTGGTGGGAAAGAGAAACAGAGTGCCAGTGAGGAAGCAGCCTTTGGTGAGAAGTAATCCAAGCATCTTCTTGTGGTGGTGGTGCAGCTGGGAATGGATTGCTTCTGACACTCATCGTTAGATGAGATTATAAACTGGATTTCTTTCAATTTTTGCAATTTGATTCGATGAGATTTATCATTAATGTGTTGCTGGAATCTTGAAGATGTTGTCCCCCCCCCCCAAACACCTTTTCTGGGTTTCTTCCCTGTCTCGGAAACTGCAGGTAAAATGCCTTGAGAGGTGGCCTTCAGTCGCACCTTGCTTGTTGACTTGATACACACCTTAAAATCAAAAGTTACACTGGGCATAATATTAAAATACTCAAATTTGGCAAAATAGTTGTTTAGTTTTTTTTTTCTTAATATTTTGATCTCATCCTTTTATTTAAGATAAAAATTATTTTATGAATGAAAAAGTTAAAGACAAAAAAGAACGAAATAATAATTTTATAGCTCACCCTAAGTTTATACCATATGATAAATATGAATTAATATGGTAAAATAAAAAAATACAAGACAAATACAAAAGTTATCAAATCTAATAAATTCTAGTTTTGTCCAAATTGACCCTAGGTAACTCACTAAATTCCCTCTCAACCTCCAAAGCCAAATCCACTTCCCCAAACCTTCTCAACCCTTTACTCAAAACTTTGACCACATACTCCCCAACTTTTCTCCTGGACCCGATCCCATTTTCCTTCATCAGCCCACAAATCCTGACCGTTGATTCCTTCCTTCCAGCCCCTATCACACCCTTGATCAGCCTCACAAGGGCCTTCTCGTCATCACACTCGATAATCCCCAGCTCCTCGATCAACATATCAATCTCCTCCATGAGCTGGTTCCTGGCCAGCGCGGCGACGACGTCGGCATACAAAGCCAAGTCGGGAGGCGGGTATTCTGATCGGACGGCGGAGAAGACATGGAGGGCGAGGGTGCATTGATCTTGCCTTAGGAGCTCACGTAGGGCGGCGATGAGGTCGGATTTGATGAGGCGGGAGAGGGAAGGGAGAGGAGTGAGTGTTGTTGCCGTCGATGAGGAGTTGCGATGGGCGCGTTTGAGAACTTGAATGGCTTGGATGGCTTCGATGCTTAAGATACGGCCTTTGACGAGAGGTCCACGTTTGTCGCGTGGCCCGCAGCGTATCGGAGTGAAGCTCTTGTGAGCGGGGAGTGGGTGGAGAGAAGGGATTGAAGTACTGAACCGGAGAGAGGAAGCCATGAAATTGGAGAAGATTTTGCTGTAAGCAAAAATGAAAAAAAAAATGGATAAAAGAGTTTTAGATTCAGTCTCTCTTCTACGATGCCGTTTTGAGTTCAATGAAACGATGTCGTATTTGCAGCAGTGGCAGCCTCTTTTGAATTCAGCGATGTTCGGTGCGCTTGGTAAACAGAATATAAGATTATCAAGAAATAGGATTACTGAAAATATTATATTTTGTATTTAGATGATTTAGTAAGATTGTAAGATTACCGTGTTTGGTTAAAGGAATAAAAAAAATATTAGAATGTATATTTAACTAAATTATTCTTATTATATATTTATTTTTTTAACAAGTTACAAAATATTTATATATATTTTTTTAAAAATTTAAATTCATAAAATTTATATAATTTTTTTTTACAAAATTTAAAATATAAAAAGGTTTAATGAAAGGGTAAAATATTATTTTAACTCTTAAACTTCATATAAAATTTAATTATAATTTTTTTTTATAAATCTAAAATAGTTTAAGGATAAATTTGTAATTTAACCTTCGTATAATTTTTATTATTCAATGACATAATAAAATATTTTCAAAAAAAAATTTTAAGGACATTTTAGTCCAAACGCCGTAATCCAACAATACCCAGTAAAGGGAGGTAATGACATTCCCGATAATATACCCCAAAATCCACTATTGATAATGTAAGATTATCGGAATGACATTCCCGGTTAATCAAACGGAGAATGTGTTTTCATTCCATGGGAATCTCACATTCCCCCACCAACACACCTTAAAGTAAGCTACCTATCTAGTCATCCGTACCAATAGTTGTTGGCATCATTGGCGAATCTATATAAAATTTAGATTGTTTTATTAATTATGTGTATCATAGAATTTATTTAAAGAGTAATTATTATTAATATTTAAATTAAATAATATATTTAATTTACAACGATCAAAATAAATTTATATTACAATTCAAACTTAAATATATATTATTTAATTAAAATATACACAAGTATAATTATTTTTAATATTTAAAATTAAAAAATATAATACCTTTTTAAATTGATTTATTAAAAAAATAATTATTCTACTAATATTCAAATTAAAATTTATCTTTTAATTTATAATAGTCAAAAGGACTATAAATTTAATATAAATATTAAATTCATCAATTAAATTCACCATTTTCCCAACAAAAAAAAATGCCCTATAAGCCTAACTGCAGAGAATTGAAGGGGAAAAAACCCGCATGCATCTCAACTCTAGAAATACCAGCTCCCTAGTAAATCAAAATCCCTCTAATTAGGCTAAATCTCTGGGATTCTCTTTGTTTATGATTTACTTCTTACAAACAAATATATTATAGATTCAAACTTTAAAGCACCTTTTAGTGTCTGCTTGAATCTAATTAAGCTAAACCAATGTTCGTACTTTCACCCATTGATTGAAGGATTTACTTGCATGCAACCAATAATTGAATTCTATACATTGTGTAGAGAAAATGAAATCAAAGCACATGGTTCATGAACTATAATAATAAAATCTTGTAGGCTTGAGGGTTGTATGTCCTCTGAGAGGGAAAAAACCCAGCAAAAATCTGAAGAGCCTGCCAAATTTTTCCTGTTTGTTGTTTGGTAAAGATAGCACCTTTAATGTCTTGATTCACTTCTTTTCCATGAAATTCAAGCTCTTCCCATGGCCTAACCAGACAGTTTTCTTCACCTTAGTCTTCTTCATTTTGATTGTTGTTAAGACTTACAGTTCTTCGAGTGTTTCAAACTCTGATGTCTACACCTTTGGAAAGAAGCTTTGGGAAGATATCTTCTTCCTCCTCTTCAGTTGTGTCCGTCGAAGAAAAAACCAGAAAAACAACCTATAATACTTGTCTCAATCTCAAAGAAACTGAGCTGAGGCTTGGCTTACCAGGTTCTCACTCTCCTGAAAGAAAAGTCTGTCTTTTTGGCAAACATTTACAAAGAAATGATAAAAGTAATGGTTTTGCTGCTACCCCTTTCAAGAACTTGGCGTTTGGAGCTAAAAGGGGTTTTCTCATGCCATTGATGGCCCAATGATAAATGGGTTTCTCCATGAATGGTAAATATGATGTTGAGTTGCCTAAAGGTGCTGCCATTAATGAGTTGACCGGTGTTTCTGTTAAAGGATGTTCAAAGATAAATAATATTTTTATTTATCGATTTTATTGAATAAATGCATTGCCGCTATTATTTTCAGTTATATATATATATATATATGTGTTTAATATAAACTAGAAGATAATAAAGTCTATGTAATGACATAATTGTTATTATTAAAAAGATCCCTAGTCAAATATTATTATGGGCATGAACAATAATAATACGCTTAAGACTAACATGTTATTGATTGATTATTATGAGTTGTCATTGACATAGAAATGTCAGAATTGATACATGATTATATGTTAGAGAACAATGTATTAGATTGACCCACCATGATATCTTGGATTATTATGTGAGAGTCATAACATTGCTCATGGTGATAACTAATGTATGATCCTCAGACTTGAGATCAATTATCCCAACATATTGTTGTATGTTTTGATGCAGTTAAACAAGCTCCGTAACTGGTTGCTCTATAAAGACTGTTATTGAATATATCTCAATATATGTAGTGGGTGTGTATGATTAAGATAGGATTTGTCCTTCCTACATAATAAGAAATATATCACAGGCTACTTGATTGAGTGAGACTAGAAACGCATGGCCATGCTCGAATAAGTTTATATGAGATATCACAAACTATTCGTTAATTAAAATTTACTCTAGATATCAAGAAACAATAGATGGACTATACAAGTGTGACTATTCCAAGACTTGTGCCTATTCTAGATATAAAAGACATAAGGATGTAATACATAAAAGAGTTAATTACCAAGATGATATGTCGAATCATATTTTCTTGTAACTTAGGTAACAATGATATATTGCTAGATGTCATTCATTGTATGAAATTTTAGAAATGTTCTAATAATTATTACTAACGTTACAATAACCTACAGGGTCGCACTCTATGATTGAAATGAGCAAAAATGTACAATTTGTTGTACGTTACTAAAATATATCTAAAATTAAGATATGTATATTTGATATACATATGAATTTAATTATCCCGAATATATTAAGTAAACATTAAAATAATGTAATTTATATTATAACTCTTTTAATTGATATATATATATATAATTCAGAATAATTAAATAAATGTTTTAAGTAAACATTAAAGATTGTAATTCTAATTATAAATCTTTGATGCATATTTAAGTTGAATTAATTAAATAATATTTTATTTATTAATTCAAAACAACTTTAAAAACCCTAAGATGTTAAGGTAATGGATATAAAAGGGTGTGTTAGGTCTAACAGCTGTTTTTGCAACACACACAAACCCTTCAGTCGTTTTCTCTCAAAACAGTTTTGGGGAAAACAAATATTGCTCTCAATCGGGTGAACTGAGTAGAGACCGAGAAGTGATTTCGTGGAGGCTTTCGATTCGAATCGATCTACACCATCAGTATTCACTGCTGTTCTTGTTTTTTTTCAAGGAACCCACAGTAAGTATTCGCATCATTTCCTTCCGATTTCGGTTTTTCGTACTTGGATCGTTGGTGAGACCGTCGAATTTTATTTTCGCTGCGCCATGGGATGCGCCGACGGTCCTAACAGTTCCTCCTGGAAATGACCATGCTAGTGCTCCAGCTGCAAAGTATGTTAATCTTTTTCTTCATTTTTGGGTGTTACTTTTCAACTAACGGAGCATGATTTCTGAAACAGGGCACTGGTGGTAGGATGGCCACCTGTTAGATCATTCAGGAAGAATAAAATGGCCTCTAATTCAGCAAAGAACAACGACGAGGCCGCCAGCGGCTGCGGTTACTACGTAAAGGTGAGCATGGATGTAGCACCATACCTGAGAAAGATGGACCTCAAGACCTGCAAAAGCTACATGGAACTCTCTTCAGCTTTGGAAAAGATATTCAGCTGTTTCACCATATCTGAATATGCGGTCACATATGAAGACAATGAGGGTGATTGGGTGCTGGTCGGCGATGTTCCATGGCAGTACATGTTGCTCGAACCCACGTCTTTTTATATGTTACAACTGTAATTATGTCAACCGAGTAATTTCATGTGTTTGTTACTCAGGATGTTCTCAATTCATGTAGGAGACTAAGGATTATGAAAGGTTACAGCTCCAAGGACCATGGAGGAATGCAGGAACCAGAGTAAGGAACAACACCAATCTTCAAAGCCCCTAATTTCTATAGATATTTGTTGCGAGATATCTTACGTTTAATGTATTTAGTGTTTTTTAACATAAAAGTAAATGAAGAAGCATATTATTAGACAAACTAAAAATATTTTAAATTGTCAATCTATGGCTAAAGTTTGGGTCACAATTGCAGGGAATGAGATTCTTGTTTGAGAGAAAAAGCCACATAAATTCAAACTTTGCTCTCATTAGGACAAATTAACATTGTTCTCTCATCAGTAAATTACATTGGAAAGATCTTAGGGTATGATCCTAAAAGATTTGGACACAACACTTCAAAAAAATTAGCAAGAAAATTCTCATAACTTGCTATGAGAAATGAAGATATTGGCACATGTTGCATCTACTGAAGTGAATCAGATTTGATCCAGGAGACTTTCAAGATTCGGGTTTGGAAATTTGCAGATATACCATCTGTGTATCCATTAAATTCAGATCTCTCTAGCCTATCTAAAACCGATCCGCTGAAACAAGCGATACCAGCCATCTTCAACAATAGGACGTGGTGCACGGCCAGGATCATATCGAGTTTGGTGGGTGAGAGATGGACCAGCTGTTGGTGGTAGCTCCCAGTAAACATCAAGAATCGATTCGACAAACCTGCTGTTTTGAAAATGTTCGCCATAAGAGATTATGGTCTTACTGTGGTTAAAATTATCCCGCATCTCCCCTCTACCACCCCACCAAGCTTCATGTGGCCCACAAAGTTCATTTACATCCACAGCCTTCTCCC